GGCTGCTAAATTCGAATTCAGCTCCTACAACTGGCCTATAATCATGTAAAACTCGAAAAAGTGAACCGAGGTCATCAAAGGTCAATGACCTGACCTGACTTTCCGGTGACCTTGACACCCACCCTAATGCATGGAAGCAACATCATATCCCATGTTTGAATGCTTAAAACCACGAAAAGACTGCAAACGCGCCGCTAATGCGAGCCGACATACGCCGAATCGCGATTCCGGCCAAACATGGTCTCGAGAAGTAGGTCGCAGGTCAAAGGTCATTAAGGTCAGGGTCTTGACAGTTTCAGGGTGGGTGTAAAATTGAACAACGCGAGGGTACTGAAAGTTTCGTCGCGATCGGCCGCTTTTTACGCGAGTTATTCGCGAAAAACCGAGGGAGGGGGGGTCCGTTCGACCCCCCTCCCCCCTCTATACGGGCGAGGGTTAAGTTGATCTCACCCGAAGAAAAGGCATACCATTCGACACGCCTGAGCTAGACAAGCACGATGCTGCTAAAATCGCGGATCTGCGATCATTTTTAGCGAAGTTATTTACCAAAAACCGAACCTGTGCCTTGGGCCACTTGACCTGACCTCCGAAGTCATCGGCTGACCCTGGTCCTTAAATCGGAGACCAATCGCTGCATTTCGTAACGACGCACACGATCGTTTCTTTCGTGAGGCTCTAGCTCAATTAGGGGCGAATCGGCGAAGGGGCTTGTTTCCTCACTTCCAACCCCCAACGCCCCCTCGGTATTCAGAAAACCTGAAGGTCCGGTGAGGGTTAAAGCGTTTCTCCTGAACGAGGAAGAAATGTAAAAGTCAAAGCTCTATAGACGTCCTGTAAAAGTGGCCATAATAATAAATTCGTTAGAAATCAGATGCTTTTTAAACGACTTCCTCATATAAAATCGGGTGCTGGGACCAATCTTATAAACGCTTTAGAATGGACAGGGCGTCACTGGCTAAAGTTTGGGTGCAGAAAATGGCTATTACCTAAATACAAAATGGTTTTCATGCATTTCAGTCAGTTGTATATTGTCGGTCCCAGTGGCCGAGCTAAAAAAAAAATAATCGGTAGTGCTTTGCATCTTTTACGCCCTAAGAAACTACACCATCTATCGAAGTGGTCGGGCTTATTTGAATGGGAGGGCGCATTATGCACAAATCGTGTGCTTTCGTTTGTTTTGGACTGTATTTTACCACATCCACTGCTGGTGTCACTATTAATATTATCTAATGCCGTGAATACGACAGCATTCCATTTATAAGATTGGGCCAATGGAGTCGCGCCCCGCGAGCTCGGTTTTCCGCTGGGCCGCTACAGGCCAGGAAGTCGGTCTTCGCCTGAGGGCAGGACAAAGGTCAGCGAGGGAGCGCGGGGTCAGCCAGGTATCGCCCAGTGCCGAGCGGATGCCGCTCCCTCCCCCTCTCTTCCCCTCTTCTCCCCTCCCCACCTCGGTATAGATGGGGAGGGACCGAACTGCCAATGACATGCGAGCGGTCAAGGCCGCTCGCGCGGCAGCGACCCTGGCGGCCGGGTGCCGCAACTGGGATTCAGCCAAGTTACCGATTCGCCCCCTGTGGGAGAGCCAAACCAGGGGACATACTTTTTAGATATACTGTACCTGATGATTGATGAACGCCCTACGTCTTTCACACTCGACTGTCAACAATCAGCCGAATTGTGACCAATGTGAACGTATATCGCCATTATTTCCTGGAATTTCTTCCGGTAAACTCGAGGTTATGATGCACGGACAGGTAGTCTCTGTAAGAAGGAAAGGAAACCCAATGAATCATCAATCAACTAGCGCCCAGCACGTATTCTTTCTCACGAGGGAAAGCAATTTAAGGACATAGCATCACTCGTCAGTCTACCGAGTAGGTACAGCATATCAGTAACATCTGACATCTAACAATATATGACACGGTGTGACAGTTCAGCAGACCGACTGTGTTAGATGCATCTGATTTACGTCTGAACGTGTGATTATCTAACGCAATGGGCATCTAACAACTGTATATATCTGACACCTGTCCATCTGTCCCACAGCTGAGCTTCAGTCACAAGCAGCGGAACCGGATGGGCAACGACGCTGCCTCTGTGATCGCTCGTGCGCGCACCCACTACCCGAGCCGCTCTGGTCAGGAGCCTACCATCGTCTACGACGTTAGAACGGCACTATAGTGACGTCACAGGGACGCAGAGCGGCACTGCCGTCACGGCGGATCTCCAGTGATGTGATGGAACTCTGGTGACGTTATAACAGAACTATGGTGACGTCACGGTCCTAGTGCAGAACTCTGGTACCGTTACGACGGAATCCTGGTGACGTAGTGAAGTCATACTGGACATGTAGAAACGTTTTGGGTTGACAGTAGTCGTGTGACGTAGATGGAAGGAAGTGATCAAATGGCAGCTGCTGGTACCGCAGTGACATCAAATGATGCTTACGGTGACGATTCGGTGACGACTGGAAAGGGATACGTCAATGCGGTGCCATTGCTGCGACGAGCTGAAGCATTGTGGGAGAATTATGTGAGCACACGATCAACGTAAGGCATACAGTCAACCTGCAACTTCGTACGGTCCTATGTTCCGTATATCATTTTTATGATCATTTCCTCAGTTTACATCGTCTGAAATGAGGATAGCGACATGTTATGTGTGTGTTTTCGTTCGTTGGGTCGTCACGGGCTTGGTGGATGCATTTGATACTGTGTTACCGCGGTCTCATCTCATTCGAGCGAAGTGTCAACTGAGGCAGCCAATGTCGGAAGGATGGCTGGATCCCGCGCCAGGGCCGACGGGTTACAGACATCTCATCAGGCTGGGATGACTCAATGCCCCTAAAACCGAATCGTGCCCAAAAAGGTACCACGAGTCCTTATAACCAGTCTGGATTCTGTTTATGGAGGAGAATAAGGTCCCCGTCACGGGTTACGCCTACCAAGTTGTGAAAAAGGACTGGTGTGGCTTTACTGTTTAGTGTTTACACACTCCACAAGAGGCGAACATTTTTCTAGTGATTGAGTCTAAATTGGGCTACGGGCATTTGCCAGAAGCAAGGGAAGGGCGAATGTGGACGGGTCTAGTCAAATGGCTACACTTCTTCAGGCAAGGTATCTCGGCATTTAATTGATGTGTGTCAGCGGTCATGCTTGAGTAATGAGTATGTAGGCTGGTGGTGTGGTGTTAGGCATCGTTTAAGCTCTCGGTTTTGATAAGGCATGGGACAGGCTCGCGGGTGGGTTTTGCTGGTGCCATTTCACTCGTGTGACATCACTGCACTATATGTACGTGACGTCACCTGACCAAAGACAAGCGAACGACGTGGGATATCAGAGTGGGATGCGTTTTGCTGTTGGATATACAGCTTGGCGAATGTCATAACTGTTGCACCGCACCACCGAACATAAGTAAACTGCACAGTGTGTGCTTGCTGGGCTTGTCTGCATACGGCCGGTATCGTGAAGGCATTGATGACGCCATTGAGTTATGACGTGCAGTGTCCGGCGGTCAGATGGAGAACATCTCAGATATGTGATACGCATAGTGTGAGACACGACACAGTGCCAGTATGTGTAGCTGTTCTCGTAGCGTGTGTCACCAGCTGGCGTCGCATTAGGCCCAAGGCATTTAGAGTTGGCTATTGTTGATGATGAGCACGAGCGGTGCCGTGAGAGAGTGTTTGTTTATGGGCTTGTTTTATACCTGTGGTGTTAGTGATAGCGTGAATGTTGATGTATCTTTTTCGCCATCCTTTTTTTGCAATAGCGAAACATCGGCAAGAGATCAGGGCCTTTGAGCGCTTTGCGGGAGACCAGGAGCACACACATCGATTGAAGGAGGCATTTGGACCCGGTACGAACATAGCTCGAGAAAAGAATCACAGCTGTATGTGAGCTAAAAATTGCAGCAACTTTTTGAAGACTCAGGCATTCAGCAAAGAGCGTAGGCATACATAGATATCATTCTTGAAACGCTTAGTTACACACAATCACGGACAACGGCTATCTAGGTAGGTGCTGACAAGACATCGCTAAAGAAGCAGCACTTTTTAGGTTTTAGGCATCATGACTACGACAGGTGTCTAAGAAAGACAACTACTTTTTAAGGCCCTGTAAGGAAATGTCAGTCACAAGAAAACCCGTAATACAGCGAATAAGAAAATCGCTATGGATCAGGAAGCCAAGAGAGAATCCACCCACCCACATCCACTTATGCAGTCTTTGAGGGTTCGTACTATCTTAAAAATTGTGCAGTTATCTTACAATGTCAATCTAGAGCAGAATATGAGCCAAACTGATCAGACTGATCACGACCCACGAGGCAAAGGACGAGAACGCATAGCTGACCCGAATAGCACACCTAGCGGAGAAAATTGTAAGGTAGTTTAGGTAGGTGGCGCTGCTTCCGTCAACAACGTTTTGGCGATGGCAGGCAAGCAATTCAGTGGTGGGTGGAAGACGGCATGGGTGCTGAAGCGCAATCCTGATTGCTTACTGTGCCTCCCCAGTTAATGCCGTGTGAAATGCGATAAAAGTACCAACGGCTAACCTTCCCCATGAACTCAAAAAGCTTCACTTTCATCATAAACAAGCCAGGCGCCCGACTGCGCGTAAATATCGAGGGCCGATCCGTTTGCAGTTCGGATACAAGCTACTCACATGATCCGTAGAGAGGCGTCAATCCCGTGCGCTGCGGCGAGCTTGTAAAGCTGGCGTGACGCCCAACCTCAGACGGAGGACACGGCACAGCTGCACATCATCAGTGGCCGTCCCTATACATACAGCGGCAACCGATAGACCGGCGCCAACTGTGCACTGTGCGAAAAAAGCGGGTATATCAAAGGAGCACGGGGCTAGGAGCCAAAACCAGTTATGAAACAGCTGCGAAACAGACCTCATGTGACAGTGGAACACAAAAGCTGGATCATTTCGATGTCTGAGAAAGGCGGCATGAATTGAGTGAAGTTTCTGATACAACCACCGTAAGAACCTTCGTGAAACCCAACGCATATGTATTATCATCGTTACGATGACTAATAAACTGGATACAAAAAGCCATATTGACGGATGCACAACTCAAATAAAGACTCATTCCAAACCGATTTAGTTACAAAACTAAGCAATCACTCCCGATCAACACAGACACCCAGCAAACTTTTCCGGGACGGAAAAAGAAATCATTAGACAATATATCAAGCAGCGAACAGTCGCATAGGGACAATAATCGACTTGGTTTTTCCCTCATGACAATCCAGTTAACCATCCGAGTCCCACGTGAGTCGATAAAGCACAGCCCACAGCTATTGACCAGCACTCCCGACTGACCAGCAGCGCATACACAGCATCCATCACATAAAATTCCACGCAGAAAGACAACAATCCAAGACAGGATTTTCTGGGACACTTCGACAGCTTCGCCATTAGTGATATAAAGCACTTCACTCAAGGCAGCTTCACGCAATACCTAGCACTTATCACATCACACACGTCTGATTCTCAGAACCAGTGTGTCACCCACATTATCCCTCGCCTTCCCCACAGCACGTAACTCGTCCAGAGGTAACCTATGCTCGCCAGTCCAGTCTGGAGTTTCGCCACTCCCACTAGCTATGCCTCAGCAGCTCTGGCCGCATTGCTACCTCAATATACTCCACCATGTTCTTTCTCGACTTGACGAACACATGCAGCACTCGGTCGGAGAAGCCCAGTGCGATGCGCTCGATGGAGTTGAACCCCAGCTCGATGACACAGACGGGCGTTGTGAGGTTCACATCGGAGTGGGTGTCCGGCTCGGCGGTCTGCCGGCTCTTCACCAGCGGGTCCCGGCCGCCCCGCACCCCAGAGTGGAAGAACAGCAGCTTGCCAGACTGCGTGCCGGCGACGACCAGCGAGCGGCGCGCGCACAGACACAGGATGTTCTCCCCGAGCGCCGGCTGTACGCGGGTCAGCGGCTGGTCGACACGGCCCTGCAGCCAGTAGGTCAGTCCACGGTCCAGGTGCCAATAGCCCATCATCTGACGCTGCATCAGCGTCGAGCAGAGCACTGTGTCACGCACCACCCAGGCGGGATTCTCGTAGCGCAGCTCGCTGTACATCTCCGGGTGACTGGTCCAAGCGGCGCGCGCCTGGTCCCACACACACAGCTCGCCGGTGCGCAGAAAGCAGATCAGCCTTCCCGCCCACAGACTCCACTGGAAGGCGGCGTCCGCGCAGCGCACGTCGTAGAGCGGCTGCAGGCGCGCCCAGCGCTCGTCGGCGCTCACCCGGTAGACGGTGATGCAGGTGCGCTGGTAGACGTCCTTGAGCGCCGCCAGCTGGTCGCGGTGCACGCTGACGCGCCGCTGGCCGGTCATACTCTCCGTGCACATAAGCAGGCGCGGCTGCGCGCCGGCGCGGATGAAATGCGTGTCGGCGCCGGTGACGACCAGCAGCCGGTGCTGCCACACGGCCGCCACCTGGTTGATATGGCCGTCGTGCAGGTAGAGCCGGTGCTGCTGGGCGTCGCGCGCGCCGCGCTCCAGCACTGTCAGCACGCCCTCCGAGTCGGCTACGAACAGCCGCCGGCCGTCGCCCAGCAGCGCCTGCACAGTGAACGGGAAGTTGTGCGTGTAGGTGACGCGCCACGGCGCCTGGGAGCGCAGCTGCGACTGCAGCCAGCGGTGGTACAGCTCCATCCAGCGGTGGTCAGCACTCTCAGTGTCCAGCTCGCCCTCCACTGCGTCTGGCACCAGTTCGGCGCGCAGCTCCTCCAGGACATCATCAGGTACCTCATCCTGAACTACGTGTCGGCAGAAGGTGGAGGCGAGCTGGTGCCACAGCTCACATACCTGACCAGCCACCACTAGGTCAAGCCCCTGTAGGTAGCCAACAATCTTCTCCTGCAGCTCAATTGGTAGCTCAGAGATCATGATTTCAGTTCACTGTTCAAGTTTCAGTTTAGCATGAAAGCTTGTTGCAGCTTCATTGTCATGCAGTGCCAGTGCAGCAGCCTCATATGACTTGTATGCTCTGTAAGTAAGCCCCAGTGATTAAACAAAAACACATCAGGGTCTGACATAAAATAACAGCCAAGCACAAAAACCAAACTAGTGAAAAGGTAAAATTGCCACTGAGAGCACTACAACCACTTGCACTACAACTTGAACTAAGAGCAAAATTGACTACCTAAGCCAAGATCCTTGCTTAAGTTGAGTTTGAGTTTCCTTAAGCCTTAGTATTCGTCCGTCCACCTACTCCGTAATTATGGACTCATGAAAAATGCACACAGTCTGTAACTCCGTACGAAAAAATAATAATAAAACGCTTAGCAACCAAATAGACATAACATGAATGTCAACAAACCAAATGTCACAAACGCGTCAGAATAACCCATCTTATTGGAAAAAAGATGCCGTAGGTAAATAAAAATTTTGTGTCAAAGACATACCTGAATTTTGTTATTCTTTTACCGAAAGACTTATGTATCTTTTTTTCCAACCAACTGTATAATTAAAATGGAGTGAACATTGCAATTGCGAATTCAAATGAATTAATGATAATAATTCAAAGGCGCATCAAGACCTCAACGTGCCAGCAGTCTCCGCTGCGTGCCCTTGGGTTATTTGTTTGGATGGTGATAATTTCTCGGCAGCTGGCTAATTATATTCCTGAGGATATTAACAACCGTCTTGCGAGTGATAACACCAAAGAGAATCCGCTCGTTCAGGGAAATTATTCAAAATTCATATGACCGTAACATCTCATGATTCCGCACTGCCAAGCTGACAAACATGGCTGATCCGATGGCACCTCCCGTGGATCCCCTGCAAAACACCGGTAAGTTTCCGGCGTTTTTTGTCCTAAAGGGGAGTTCTCAAGTACCTTAAACTTTCACTTATCTTTTCATATTGCAAAGCGTCCATCATTTTTCTCCTACATGTCCTGAAGGAGCCGGGGACACTAGTTATATATTTGTGACGATCCCGACGCACTTTGTTTCGCTTGTCAAGCTACTTTTTATGGCATTTTCCACTAATTGTTATGCTTTTAGAATGTGTAGCTACAACTTCTTTAGTTTTTGAATGCTTATGATATTTTTATTGAAAAGCAGATGCTTTTGGGTTTCTTACTTTCCTCAGTCTGATGAATGGCTATGTCCGAATTGCGGATAATTTGATCTTTCAATTATGTGGTTTTGTTTTGTCAGTATAAGCCAAGCTGAGTGACAAGAAATATCTATTTATCCCTAAAGGAAACCTGAAATTTTATTGCTTGTTTAAACTGTGCATTATAATTTTTATCATAGATTTCAGTTTTGTGTCCTCTCAGTCCTGAGCCCTGGGCTGGCCCGGCTAGTTATTATAGTATCAGCATGTAGAATTGTTAAGTTGTTTGAAGCAAAAATTATTTAAATAATTGCAAAGTAAATGTTCAAAATTTTACCTGTGGATTTTTAACAAAAAAAGCAGACACCTTGAGCTGTAAGATGCACACTGAGCTGTAAGATGCACCTTGAGCTGAAAATTTCAGAGGCTTTCATAATTCTACAAGCTACTTTACTTATTTGAGATGCTTTAGGGTTAGAGCAAATTTGCAGTTCTTATCCAGGAATTTTCTGTTTAACACAAACAGGAATGAGTTGTTTCATCTTCATAAGCAGCAAATCAGCTGACATCAGCCAGCAAACTTAGTTGTAAGATGCATAGTTATTTTTCTTTTGCTTGACAACACAAAGTCAAAACTAAAATGTTGGTGCTTATTCTTTCTCACTTATTCATTATTGTTGTGCTATCATTATATGCATAATTTTCATAAAACTTAATGAAACATCTTTGAGGGAGGTGATGCATTTCATTTCTAAGTATTTAAGTTGAATCCTGCTTAAATTTAGAAGTTCCATGCAACATGTTCAGCTCACATTTGGTAGAAGCTGGAAGCAGAGCAGCTAATGATGGAAATGGTGCCCTAATCTGCAATCCAGGCGGGCACCCTATGCTGCTTCTTATTTATGCTGACCAGTGCATTTTCTCAAGGTGCCCTTGCTCATGTCTATTATGAGAATTGTTGAAATACTTTTCATGGAAATCAGGTAGGGATATATCAAATATATGCTACAGTTATCACTTATCAGTTGTGATTTGTGTTAAAGTCATGGAGTGATGTCACTTTGTTTTTCTGCTGTACCCCACTTTCCTTGCTTATGCTGCATAGGGTGCTTATGTATGAAAGTCATTTGAGTTGATAATGTTTGAGACCTGTTTTCATGGACAATTGCTACATATTATGTCATTGATTAGTACAGGTGAAACCATTTATATTTACCAGGCTGCTTAGTGTAACACACTGAACAGCTGGCTGCCTCATCCCTCAGTTGTGGGCTGCTACAAGGGTTTTCTGTTCTGTGGACTGCTAGAGTTTATTACTGCCAGTATCTCTTGTTGTTGTTCTCTGCAATTCAAATCTACATTACATTGTTCTACTGTGTTGGGCACCAACCATGTATTGTTAGTGCTCACTGGCGAGTGGCAGGGGTTTCTGCTGTTGTCAACCACCATTGTCTTTGCTGATGTTTATTGCTAGGGTCTTCTGATATTTACTTCAGAGGACCTATCCTCCTTCTTTTGCTATTTCATTGCTGCTGGGGTTTGCCACTTTTTTGCTGCCAGGGTCCATATTTCTGCTGTTCACTCCAATTGGAGTCTTCTGCTGCTGTTTATGGCTAGGATCTGCTGGAGCTGCTCTTAACTGCTCTGAACTGCTGACATCTTATCACTGTTCTCACTACTGGTAACTGGGGTCTACTGCTGCTGTTTGGGATAAAGATATTGGAATACATTCTGAAAGAAGTGGTAACATTGGGACGTCCCTGGTATTGGTATCACAGTTGATTGCCAGGCTGTGACTAGTTGCTGTCAAGTTGGTGTGTTGGAATAACCGGATCGCATGACTTGAAGTTTCCCGCGCCGTCGCTTCTTTTTAATATTCGACCTCTCGTGACTTTATTGACCTCGCCTCCACGGCCCACGCGTGTTTTCCGTTCTTGACGTGCTTTCTTCTCTGGACAGAGCGCAACACTCGGCATCTGGAGTGTCCTTGTGATTATTGAACATCACGCTTTTGGGCGCTCGTGTGTCGACCACTTGACAGAGATGTTTCCACGCTTCTCTTCTTCGTCTGTTTTTCGTCGGTATCCAGCGTCCATCCGTGACTCTTGATCGTCCGTCGACACCTGGCCTTCGTGTGTCTCCGCACGTGGGTCCATCGGCCATCTTCCTGCGTCCGTCGCTGCCCGCCCACCGCGCGTCTATCGTCCGGTTCCTTCCGCCCGTCGTCACCTCGCTCCAGGTGCGGTCGCGCTGCCGGTCCCGCCCCGTCGGCGCCGGCGCGGCTGGCACGACGCCGTGCCCCGCCCGACCTTCGCGATCGCTGCGCTCCGTCGGTCCAGCGTTGCACGCTACCCGCTGACCGGAAGCGGCGCCGTCATCGGTCGGGCCTGGCGCGGCGCCCGCCAGGACGGCTGGCTGACCCCCGGTGACGGAGGACGGAGGTGCCGTGTCACTGCTCCTCCGTGAGCTGTCTCCACCGAACAGGTGTGGCACTGGCTGACAGTGGTAAACGGGGGTGGGTGGTGGCATTACTGGTTGTGTTTTTAGAGGTACTCCATGCACATGGCGTTGTCAAATGAGGTATGTCATGAAGTGGCACGGAGAGAAGGAAATTCGTCACGTGGAATAGCTTTGAAGACGCAAATTGGTTCATCGGAGGGACTTTTGCTATTCCTTTTCGTTCGAGGTTCGTTGTATTCGTTCCTGCACTGATTGGCACGAATCGCTGACATCCGCTGGTTATGCGTCATCCCTCTCATTATCATCGGTTCCGCTTGCATCATGTCAAAGTGCGCCTCTTCCGAGTGGCGGCTTCCACTGGTTTCTCCCCGGTCGCGCTGCGCTGCGCGCGGGGCCGGTAGCGCGGTCGGCCGGCGCCGCCGTCGCTGTCGTCAGTCGGAGGTGGGGCGCTGTCGGTGGCGGAGCCCGGTGCGATGCCGTGCTCGGTGGAAGTGAGTGCGGTGAACGAGTACCGCGCCGACACCGCTGTTGGTGCCGACGCGGGTGTAGCAGCGGAGCAGAGCGGCAGCGGACGGTACTGGTCGGAGAACGGACATGGAGTGACCTCACACAATGGTCAGTGACCCTGGCGGCCGCCTCCCGCCCCTAGCTTACGCGGAGGGGCGGAGGGGGCGGCGGCGCCGGGCGGCAGGCATATCCGGCTCGCGGGCGTATTGTGTGCATTGCGTAGGCTGCTATGGTATTGTCTGGTGCCTTGGTGTGGAGAAGGGTAGGTGTGCAATGTGTTTTAATGACAGACAATAGTCAGACGAATGATTGACGTGCGGCATCGTTGCTGAACTGTGGGTATATTTGTGGTGCTGTGATAGGTGTGATTTTTGTTACGAACTTTGTTAAACTTTGGGTATAGATGTGGTGTTGTGATAGGGGGATTTTCGTTACGTCAACAAAGGCGCAGCTCAGTTTGGTTCCGGCTCCTTCGAGTAATAATAACAAGTTTTTTCAACCCCGTACTTTGACCATCAAGCCTGACTCCCTGAGCTATTCAGCGTATTTTCGTCTGACAGAAGGCCTTGCCCTAGTCTCAGTGCATATTCACAGTTTGCCGGCTGGTCCTTTTTGACGGGCGACCTTCCGGTCTTTTTTCGGGTCTGGTCATGTGACCCCGACTCAGGTGTGGTTGACGTTTCGAAGGAATTCAATCGCCAGAATTATGTCGTGTCACGCCTGCTGTCCCGGAGCCAAACGTGGCTCAAATGAGACGCCATGGGCAGTTCGTGTCAAAAGACACGGACTATGGCTCACCAAAGTGGCAGTTACACGGTGCTAAAACTGGACAGACCGTAGCCGGGTTCCAGTCGACGGTGTAAAATGTTCTGCATGGGACGACGGGACGGCAGCTCTGCAAGAATTTCCTGTTGGGATGCCTGTTCAATGTTGGTGTGCTTGCTTGCAGCCACTTGCTTCAATTTCTTTGGATTGGTTGTTTAAATGAGTCAGCTGATTGCAACATGGCTCGGAGTGGCATTCCGTGATTTTGGGCCCAAGAAACCTCGCTTCCTGAAGCTGCGGTGATGCACTCGCGGTTTTATCTGCAGAGCTGACGTGCACGAACGCTGAGAGGTTTCGCGGAGAGTGGAAGGCTTCTGGGTCATGTCCAAAGGTGAACGGAGTTAGGCCACACTCAGCCAACTGCGACATTGCCGTACTTTGGCGGAAACCAGTGAAAGTCGCACGCCACTCGGCAGGGCTCAATTGCTATCAGTTTCGTAAGTCTGAGTAACTTCTGTGTGTTATGACTCAGCTAGACTTTGGCCCGCACCTCTCAACCGAAGCCTTTCCCAACCTCTGTGGGGGAGGGGCAGACCAATGACGCCACAGCTTGTCTGTCCTGTGTGCCATGGCCTGCTCTGCGTGGCTGTTCGGGCGCTCTACCCTCATGTGTTTCCGGCTATCTGGCGGTCTGTTCCATGACCTATCCTGCGCGACTGCCAGACGCCCTGCCCTCTGTACCGTACCCGGTTCTGCGCGGCGGCACAGGCCCGCCGCTGTCTACCGGCCATTCCTGTGAGTCCGTGCCGCGATGACGTGGCCCGCCCGATCCCGTCGAGCTTATCGCGGTGGCCGGACCTGCTGGGACGCGGGCGGCGCGCCAGACGCCGATAATGGTCCGCTGGTCGCTGTCAGCCGTGTACACAGGACTTTGAGCCCCAGTGTCAGTCGCACCTTCTCGCCGGGAGCTCGCCTCTATGGCCGGTTTGTTGGTCTTGT